TGCATTCCCTAGTCCAGTGCCTCAGAACTGCACAGTGTGTATCCAGCTAGGTTTTGCTCAGTGTAGATCTATTAAATTAATAGACCTACGTTAGGCATGTTCATTAATTTCAGTGGGGCTACTCCAAGTATGACTAGCATGGCGTACAACCCTATGGGAGGATTTCATTGCCGCTTTAAGGAGATCATGCCATCTGTGGAACTATGTCCCCTCTCCTGCTCCTCTGTGCTGTTCATCTCTTCCCCTTCCCTCCCAAGAGCCAGTTGGGGGCAGGGGAAGAGATGGGGCGAACCCTATTAGGCTAGCGGAAGTCATGGTGTGGGCTTCGGCCAGCAGGACCCTTTAGCTGAATCCAGCCTTGTATGCCCACCTCACTCCATTGATGCCAACACCTTGGGTCCCCCAATGTTGTTGGACTGCAACTCCCATTGTCCTTGACCACTGGCTATGCTGTCTGGGGATGATGGAAATTGAAGCCCAACGACATCTGGGGACCCACGGTTGAGCAACACTGTGAGTTGATTTTGATTTTGCTACCTGCAGAGGTTGACCTGACTATTCATTTTGGCCCTCTCAACATGTGTTCTGGGAGTAAAATGAATAGCTGTAGATTTTTTAAAGTTCTATTTCTCTATCAGTCTGTATATGAGATTCCCCGTTTCATTGAGCCTTGCTGCAGTGCATATCAGAATTATTGATTTTGGTTATGGTCTCTGGCACAAATAGCTTTAAGAGAGGATTAGACACATTCATGGAGAATAAGTCCATCAACAGCTACTACCTGTGATAGCTAAATGGTATCTCCATACTGAGAGGCCATGCCCTAATTCCCTCTAACAGCAAACTCAGGTGGCTGGGTGCTGACAGGATCAGAGTCCAAAATGGGGCCACCAAGGAACACAAGGAAAGTGTTGGGATGTCCGGCTAAGCCTCAAGGTAAGCAACTTATTTTTTAAAAGCCCAGGGGGGCAAGATATATATATCCCCAAAAGCAACCCAACAAGGATCAAGCATGCGCCAAGAGCCCAGAACTTTCAGTGTCAATTGGAACAGAAAAATGGAACACAGAGAGGACAGAGGGAAGAATGATTTGACTAAAGACCTAACAAATTATAATTTTGTAGGAAGGCATACATCTGTCTCCTTGAACAGAAAGAATGCTCCTGTTAGGAGGTGAAGATGCACTGCAACGTTTTATTGCAGGGTCTTCTGAATACCTCTGCCTTTGCCTTTCACATCTGATCTGTGAGCTTCCTAGAGGCATATGGCTGACCATTGCATGAAGCAGGATCCCAGACTAGAGGGAAATCTCGTCTGATGCAATAGGTCACTTCCTAAATCCAAGCTCCTCCCTTCCCAAATAGTCAGCAGATGCTGGCGCCCTACAAGTGCTTTCCTCAATCCTGTTTCTCCAGCAATTTCTGTCTCTGCATCATCCAAATTCGAAAGAAAAGCCTTCTTCGGAAATCAGTTTTGCCGTTAATTAATACATTCATTTTTATGTACACTGCCCCTTAACACACACACTTTTGTACATGTTATTTTGGTGGAAAACTGCACTGGAAAATTCAGAGAAGTGCAGATTTCAAAGGATAATTGTGTTTTGGTTTCCGTGTTCGATGAGAGCGAATGACGTCATTTCTCATTAAGATGCAAACAGGATCTAATTCCCTCCCCTGCTCACAAACTATCTCACTTGCTGACTGTTTTCACATTAGGCATAAAGTGTCGAAACGATTCAAGTATTTCTCAGCACAAATCTACCAAGAAGAGGCTGTCAGCTGCCTTTTAGTGCATAGGCACACATGCACACATTTTATGTAAAATTAATGCGGAGCAAGCCAGAAATTCCTTCTTTCCCACTTGTCCCTGTTTATCCCGCCACTCAAGCGACTTGCATAAAGCAAGAGGCCCAAGATTAAAATTAGACTCTCTCCGTTCACAGAGTAGGATCGTCTTTGGGGAGGCAGAAGCTTTTGTTTCTCTGTGGAAGGTCCCTGCCTAGCAGCCAATCTGTTTAGCAGCTGGTACTAGCACAGGGCGGCTCTGTGCCCACCTGCTACATGGAGGCGAGGTGCGACTTTTCCATTCTCTAGAAAGCAGGCGGGGACTAGAAAAACACATAACAAAAAATATGAAAGGAACTATCAAGATGACGGGGTGTACCAGTTTCTCCCCAGCTTGTGCCAAATAGAACAGCTAAAATAGAACAGATTGACAATGACTCGTCCAAACAAAAAAAACCCAAACAACAAAAACAACAGCAACCCACCAGGGATGGGGAGTAAACCTAAGACACAGAAGAAATTGCCTTCATTCTGGTACAGTTTGCTCTACAAGCAGCCCTTAAACAGGAAGGCAACTGGGGGAAAAGGCGCTGGAATTTTGTTTGGTTGTCAATAGCTTTTCTGTTAGATGGCAGCTCCTATGGGGTTAGCCGAGGATGAAGGCAGAGGAGGAAGAGGACATAATCCCTGGCCAGTCAATAGTTACAAATGAATGAAGAAGGTCCAAATAGGACATATTTCTATCACATTGGTCTGAAAGAATTTTTTTCAAGTTACAAAAGCAAGTCTGTAGCTGGTGGGCAATGGAACGTACAATAATAAGCAATGAATCTTACGCGGCTTTGCAATGTTGCAATGCAGGCACAGTGTATAATAGCACAGAAATAGGTTCTAAAACATCTGAATATATTCAGTGCTGACTGAATATATCTTTCAAATGCTAACTGTACCACAGCGATGAAACACAAAGGTACGATTGGCCAGACCTTGAAATCCAGAAGATTTCAAGGGACTGTTTACAACAGAGGTATTTTGGAAAGACCTGCTCGTTCTTCTTCAGTGGCATGTAGTTGGAAAGGGGCCTCTCCTTGTGCATGAGCTTCATGCATGTGCGTCATGGCAAGGGGGGAGACCAGCCTATCCCCATTCACTGGCTAGAGAAGGAGCCCTGACAGAGTGCCTGGTTTCTTCTAACCTTGTTCCTAGGAAAAAAACACCCAGCTCCAACTGTCAGGTTGCACTACAGAATCAAGGGGAAAGAGCACTTTGGCCCAGAGTTCTTCAACCATAAGCCCCCAGATGTTGTTGGACTACAAGTCTCATCATCCCCAGATAGCTCAGCCAATGGTCCAGAATGATGGGATTCACAGAACACAGCTCTGACTATTCTATCGGCCAAAGGAACAGGGTCCATCAGCTGCTATTCCAGCAGGTATACCTCCTACCTGCAAGGTCATGTCCAAAGCGTAGGACTGAGAGACTAGTTTGAGCCCCACAGTCTTTGTGCTATGTGATACTGCAGAGTACATTCTTGTCTCCAATACTGGTTTTGCTAATTTGGCATGGGTTTTTTTAATTATTATTTAAGGACATTATTGAGTAAATCAAAACAAATACAACAAAGCAAAGAACTCAAGAGTGACTTCCCAATGCTGTTTAACATCTACTATTTATTTAAAATAAGAAACTGTTGTTGTTGTGGCCATTCTTCACACAGAATGGTTATCGACATAAGCACATACAAAATGCAGTAAGAGTAATGAATGCATAAAATACAAATAGAAAAATAAAATGAGAATGCAGAGGGAAGGGGGAAACAACTGAGAATGCAATGTAGCATACATTTATCACATATAAGAAGAAAAAGGTGAATCAAATTAGTTCTCGATAAAGCCTCTCCACATATATTTATCTGTGGAGCAGGGGGTTTAGTGGACTGTGCCGATGAGTTAACACAAGAGAAAAACTTATTCCAAGTCAAATAAAAGTGGTCTATTTTTGATGAGCCATTAAGAACTCTCTGTTTGTGTGTCAGCTGTTCTGGCAGTGCAATTTTTTGCTAGTCACTTCCTCTCGGGAGGGAGGTGAGTTGGATTTCCAATGGGAAGCTACTGACATTCTGGCTGCGGCAAGTAGCACAAACACTAACATGAAGTCACTGGGTGTGATCATTTGGAGTTGGGGGTGAGTGGGCAGCGTCATCAGAGATGGTCCATAAACCAGCGGAGAACCCATGGTTTAATCCTTGCTGTCTCCAGTTTTTAGAAAGGTAGCACGACAGGTCCTGTAACCTTGGAGTGGCACTGCCAGTCACAGGAGACAAGGGCAGACCACATGGGCTAATGGACTAGCTCAGTATAAAACAGCTTCATATAGCTTTTAAGCATTCTTCAATAACCAAATTCTTCAATATCACCTTCCCTTCCACTGCATTATCTTCAAACCCTTCACCATTATTTCTGCCGGTGTAAAACCAATGAAAGGGAGAGACAAATCTGCCATTATGTCCCTGCTATAGCATCATTTCCTCTGGGACTTTCTAGGTCACTCCATCCTCCAATATGTCAATTTCCCTCCCTCCTCCAAAGATTTAACCTTTTGCAGAGCAGCCAATGACTGCCCCTATCTTTCCTCCCCTCCCCTTTCCCTTCCCCTGGTCTCCAGCTCTGTAAAGTCCCCTTCGGGAACATAAACCATTCCAATAGCATTTTCCTCAGATCCAAAGTCTCCCAAGATGCATCCGCCAAAGAGCTGACACTCTGGAGTGCAGACATCTTGACTCAGCGCCAGGTTGCCTGTGACCTATTGTGTACGAGATGAGGCCTGTGGGAATAACTATATGACAGCATCATTTACAGCATCATTAGTGGTCAAGAAAACCACTGTTAACCCTGATCTAAATGCTACAGTTCCTTCTCAAGCAAGGAACTGACTTTCCTGTGATTTCGGCTCGTCAGATTTAAAGCAGAATTCATCTTATCCATTTTTATCTGGCTTCAAGGACCTTGGGACGGGGCCCCTGTTATCCTTCTGCAGAAGCCCTGTGAAGCAGGCAAGGCTGAGAGTGACAGGCTCAAGGTCACCCAGCCTACAGTGTGGCTGAGTAATGAGTTGAACCTGGGCTGCACCCGGCACTTAATCCACTGACATCACAATGGGTTTGGTTAAAAAACAAAACAACCTTCGAGGGCTTATATTACAAGAGAGCTAACCATCAAATCAGCCACAGTCAAACACAAGAACATACACATAAGCAGCCGGTGAAGATCGCTTTGGAGTTTAGCAACTGTCAGCAAATGAAATGAAGAATAACAATGAAAACTCTTGACACAGCAGCTAACAAGGGCGAGGGGGAATCCTTTAGAGCCCTCAAGAAAACAAATTTGTGAAAAAGTATATCTGATGTTGGGATACCAGGAGAAAAGGGATGGGATGAGGTTCTACTAGAAAGTAATTTCTTGCTGCTGCTGCTGCTGCTGAAGTCTCTGTCCAAAGTAAATCTCCGCTGTACTTCAAACAGTGATGGGTGAGTACCCAGAGGAGGACCTCCAATGGTGGAGGCTTAAATTACACAATGTTGTAGAATGGTCACATCCACACCATCCATTTAAAGCATGTGGATTCTCTCCCACCCAAACCCTGGGAACTGTAGTTTGTTAAGGTTCTTGGGAGTTGTAGCTCTGTGGTTGGGTGAACTCCCCTTTTTTATGATTCTTTGGGGGAAGCCATGTGCTTTAAATGCAGATGTGACCTTAGGATAGGGTTACCAGACGTCCCTGGTTCCCGGGGACAGTCCCCGGATTTACAAATCTGTCCCTGGACAAATTCCGTCCCCGGGATGTCCCCAGATTTGCAAATCTGTCCCCGGGAAACGTGGCAGCGGCAGCCTCAGCAGCCCGGAGCCAGCCTGGTAGCGCAGTTGGCTCTGGCTGGCTTCAGGAGCTGCTTGCTGCTCGCTGCTCGCTGCCACCGCCACTGCTGAAGGGGAACTGGGGACATCCGGTGGTACAGATCTCCTGCCCCCTTCCCCCTTTGTTTTGACAGATCGGGGGAGGCTCAGGAGTCTTGGGCAGGCGGGCGTTGCCCAATTTTTTAAAAAAAACTCTGCGCATGTATTTTTCACAGGGTGCGAAAGAAGGGCTTTGCACCTTGCCTGGCAGAGAAACCGTGCTCTTTGCGCCCCTCCTGGGCAACAGCCACCCACCTGCAACTCCCAAGCCTACCCCAGTCTGTCAAAACAAAGGGCGAAGGTGGCAGGAGATCAGGGAAGACTCAGGAGTCACAGGTGGGCTGTGCACCATTTCCCAGTTTTTTAAAAACTCTGCGCATTTATGTTTCACAGGTGCGAAAGAAGGACTTTGCACCTTTATACAATATGCATGTGTGCTTGGGCCCAGGATCTTTTGCCTCACCATCTCCACTACTGACTCCCTGTTGCTACTCAGCTTCAAAAAAAAAGAAAAGAAAAAGGAGTCCCCAGATTCATTGAAAAAAATCTGGTAACCATACCTTAGGAGGCTGACTTACAGCATAATGCTCTCATTCCACCTTTGGTCTGATCCATAACTTCATCCCCAGTGCTTCCCCACCACCCACCCAGTTTCTTTCTCAGGAATTAGAATGCCAACTGGGTGTTCCATAGCTACTTGCAAGGGCATGACCCCAACTTATTGACAGTTCATGACCCAAACTCCTAAGTGCCCCCGTTTGATCTGTTCAGTTGCAGGCAATGAGAACCAACTTTTTTTTTTTATTTGACTCTTTACACTTTTATAGTTGTGAATAAGACAATATGTGAAATAAGTAATCTGTAAAGACAGCCACAGATGTAGCACACTGGGGAGCAACTGCAGTTCTCAATAAGCATTCAATTAAAGGGAACAGCAAAATAAAGACAAATGAAAAAGAAGACCCCTCCCCCAACCAGAGAACACAAAATTAGACAAGGACAGGAGACAAGAATCCATTTCACACTACAGTATTACGATGTACATCAGGGTAGCCAACGTGGTGCCGTCAAAATGTTGTTGAATTGGCCATACTGTCTGGGACTGATGGGACCTGGATTCCAATGGGGGAATAATCCTGAATGTCTCTGATCAACACCATAAAATTTCCATTCATAACAGCAAGCAGATTGATCACACACGCGAAAGGGGTCACATTTTAAAGCAGTCCTGCAGGCACCACAGGAAGGGGTGTTTTATTGGCCTCACATGGTACCAGTGAAGAGTTCTGAAATGGGAAGCAGCCCTTGAGATAAGCTCCAGAAGAAAAAATGCCCATAGTCCTTTGCGGGGTGAGCAGTCACTTTGTCCAATGTCTTGAGGTCCTGGGATCTCACAAGCCAGCCCACCTTCCACTCTACAGTGGTACCTTGGGTTAAGTACTTAATTCGTTCCGGAGGTCCGTTCTTAACCTGACACTGTTCTTAAACTGAAGCACCACTTTAGCTAATGGGGCCTCCCACTGCCGTCGTGCTGCCGGAGCGCGATTTCTGTTCTCATCCTGAAGCAAAGTTCTTAACCTGAGGTACTATTTCAGGGTTAGCGGAGTTTGTAACCTGAAGCGTATGTAACCTGAAGCATATGTAACCTGAGGTACCACTGTATTTCCATTCTATCACAACTTGAGCTTTGGCAGCAGTTCAGAGGAGGACCATATGATCACCCCAGAACTTAGGAAGCTCCATTAGATGCCAGGCCAGACAGTCCATCTATCCCAGTCTTGTCTGCTCCAGAGGTGAGGGTGCCAGTGCAAGCCCTCCAAATGCTGTTGGACCTCAGCTCTCATCATCTATTGACCAATGCCAACTGGGGTGGCTGGGAGTTGTAGTCCCATGACAACTGGATGGCATCAGACTGGCCACCTCTACATTACATTATATCCTGTGCACGCATATCAGGAGAAGCTTCCTTGCTCCTCTGTTTTATCTTATTATTATTGTATTTTTGTAGCATAAATCTCATCAAAAATATGAATGGATTATTTTTGCTTTTCAAAACTGATTTTTTAAAATTACTTCACTGAGATTGGTGTCTGTATAACAAAATATGAAATGATCTTTCCAAGCCAGCCCAGCATTATTTGATAGTGAGATTGAGCAGGTTTTTAGGAGCCTGAAAGAGACTCAGCTCATCCATTGCCTTCATGGAATATTTAACTGTTTGCACCAAGTGGTCTATTTGGTGCGTGAACGGAATAAAGTCTGGACTGAAAGGTTAAGAGAAGATGAAAGAGACTAAGAGAAGATGATAGACAAGAGGCAAGATGAAGTGCTCTGAAACTGGAAGACACATGGATGCTGATGGAAGGCTTAAGATGAGATCCTGCTGCATCAGGCCAATGGATGAGAGGGATAACAAAGGCTACTAGCCAATGGCCTTTCCAGCCCAGCTTCCTGTTCTCACAGTGGCTAACCAGATGCTTATGGGAAACCCACAATTAGGATCAGAGCAGAAGGATGTGGTTTCCAGAAACTGGCATTCAGAAGTATTATGGACTCTAGCTTTGGAGACAAGCACAGCCATCATGGCTAGCTAATTATACAGTCCCAGCCCAGTTTCAATAAATGCATCTTACATCCCTTTCAGAAGATACACAGGCTCAGGGTTTGGGGGATCTCCAGAGAAAGGAATTCCAAGATTGAGGGGCCACCACCTTGCATGACCTTCTGTGTGTTCTTGCAGCCCTGTTTGGGCACCTGAACTGGGGCATATATTTACGGTTGTCAGAGGTGAGTGACAGGCAGGCAAGAGAGTTGTACCATGGAGTCAAAGCCAAGGAATCAAACCAGGAGGGAGAGCGAAGTAACACTCTGAAACACACACCATCAGGAAGGCCATTGTTCTCAGCCTGAGTCTGAGCCTAGACAGAAAGCCCTTCATAGCTCTTTCTGCCTAGGAGGGTTCACTGACCAGGCTAGGTGGGTGGAGCCCCTCCAGAATCTGAGACTACTTCACTAACCAGGAAGAAGCTCCAAACTGCTGCTCCAGTGACTGAATGCACAGGGCAGTTGCACCCGCAGCCAAAGGGACTTTGTTCTAGTCCTGGTGTTTCCTGCAATTATACACAAGAGAATGTCCCCATTCAGCCAAAAGGTCATGACTGAACATGGAGGAAGCAATGTGTGCTAAATGTGCTTTAAATGTATGGTGTAGATGTAGCCTGAGTCTAGAAAACAATAAGAAAGGGCATGTTGATTGCTGTTGATTTTAATGTGCCCATACATATCTCTACTTAGACACCCACCACTGATAAGGGAGTTTGCTTTAAATATAATTAAGCAACGAGGGCTGAACTGAACACTAACTGATATTAATTTGGATTCCTTATAATTAATTTAGAATCTTGAAACAGAGCCATGAGTAGCAATTTCATCCTGAGCAGCAAGTTTGAGAAGCCTTCGGCAAAGTCAGGTAGAGGAGCATGTCATCACCTAAGAGGCTTATCCTGCGATACATTATCAAGCCACCTTGATACTCTCTTATTTGAGGATTTTGTCTGATGGCTTCTGCAAACAATGAGAGCGATTAAGGGGATGGAGCAACTCCCCTATGAGGAAAGATTGCAACATGTGGGGCTTTTAAGTTTAGAGAAAAGGGAAGTAACAGGCAACATGATAGATGTGTAAAAAAACCAAAACACAATGCACGATATGGAGAGAGTGACTAGAAAAATGTTTCTCTCCCTCTCTCTTAACGCTTGGAGGATTCAAGACACATAAAAGAAAGGACCTTTTCACACAGTGAATAGTTAAAACTATGGAACTTGGCCCCTGCAAGATGGAGTGATGGCTCCTGGCTTGGATTGCTTTGAAAGTGTTTTGGACAAATTTATGGGAGAGAAGGGAATCAATGGCTACTAGCTAGTGACTATTTTCTACTTCCATAGTGTCATTGAATTCTACTCAATATTGATCCAGAGCTGATTCCAATGTACAGTTAGCAGAGTAACAACTTAAACACGTTGCAGGATTCCCAAAAATAGACCAGAGGCAATTGTATTTCATCCAGCAGAGCTTTACTGCTACTGAAGGCAAATGAGAATAATGGTCACAAATCCATACATTTAGGATGTCCATAAGAAATCCAGTTGCAGCAGACTTACAATAACTTATAATAGGTCTAAGCCTACTATGTACAGACCACCACACCAGAAGGAAAAGAGAGAGAAAGAGAGAGAAAGTGAAAGCCAGGCCCCTCCTGGCCTCTAATTATAGTCAGCATGACCTTGACAGAAAGAGATAAAAGAACCCGTTTAAGCCAGCTGTTCTCAGCTTCTCGGAAGGAATAACCCAAACATCATAAAGCTTCTGCTTGTTTCTTTCACACAGAGAAGATTACAGAACCCCCTTCAATTAAGTAGAATAGGAAAGATCTCTACACATCAGATCAATACTTTCTGCACTAATAAATGCAAACTGACACATAGTTGGAGGCAGTATGCTGAACACCAATTTCTGGAAACTTCTGGGGGTGCAAGTACTGTACTGTTGCATTCACGTCCTGCTTTGCGGCTTCCCACGGGCATCTGGCCGGGCATTGTGAGAACAAGATGGTGGACTAGATGTGCCACACTGGCCTGATCCAGCATGTTCTTGTATTCTGAAACAAACAAAAGAAGAGGGGAAGGAGGATATCCTAGACTGGCTCCCGTTTGGATTTTGACATCATTAAATCTCCCTTGAACATGGGTGCGGTAGTTCATTAAGGTGGAATCCAGACACATATTCAAAAAAACCTGCTGTAAAATGCTTGTTTTTTTAAGTGGTTTGAAAAATATATTGAATTTGCCATAAGCTCACCATTGCCATCTTGTGTCACATTTGTATAATGCACTTAAAACACACTTAAAATGTTGTACAGTTGCACCTTGGAAGTCAAGCAGCTTAGTTCTCAAACATTTTGGTTCCTGAATGTCACAAACCCGGAAGTGACTGTTCCGGTCTGCGAACTATTTCTGGAAGCCAAATGTCCAACAGGGTTTCTGCAGCTTCTGATTGGCTTCATGAGCTTCCTGCAGCCAATCAGAAGCCGCGCTTTGGTTTTGGAAAGTTTTGGAAGTCAAACGGACTTCCGGAACGGATTCCGTTCAACTTCCAAGGTACGACTGTATTGGCAGCTGTATTGCTGAGTCTCTTGTGTTCAGGCTTCAAACAGAGGGTTCCAGTGTAAGAATGAACAGTTAATTCATTATGATAATGCAGCAATCAGGGCTTCGCAACACAGCAGGGGAAGTCAATGTGGCAGCCTGATGCTGCTGGACTTCAACTCCCATCATCCCTGACCATTGGCCATTGAGGTTGGGACTGCTGGGAGGTGGGGCTCCACCAATATCTGCAGGGTGCCATGTTGACTACTCCTGTGCTAAAGTGTGTTTTGCACGTTTTCTCAGCCCCTTGAGAATGGATGCAGTAGTTGAACTAGTCTTCAAATTTGAAATGTGGAATTGTGCCTTTAAGCACACATTATCATTTTAATTCTGTCTCAGCATTCACCAGGTTATACCCAAGTGGATACTATGGCACTCTGTGCAAGGCCAAATTTTTTTATTATTTTTGTGTGTGTGTATGTGTGTGTGTGTGTGTGTCCAGCCCTTGCTCTGCATTCCCAAAGGCAAATAAGGAGGTGCCTGGCTTTGGGAAGGAGATGCACGGCTCCGACAGGGTCCTAGAGCCTGCTCGCCCTTCCCCAAACTGGGAA